TTACTTGATATTGAATCTTATCTTTTCTTTTCTTTTGTATACTTTGCTGAATCATTTTTATCGACTAGATTCTAGTTAAAGAAGAAAATTAATTTTGTTGGCGTATGAGAATTCATATCGAATCCAGGAATATCTACACCCTATTTCTGTTTCGATTTACACATGACCAACATGCCTAGCTTGCCACATTCCTTAACTATCAAGGTATTTTTAGCATTGCCAATTTCAGTCAATTGACTAGGGATCATCTGGAAAGACAGTTAGTTGAAGGTGATTCACCATGATGAGTCGAATGGTACTAATTTAAAAAAAGCTTTATAACTCTTTAAAGAAACCGGCTAGGAATATCGATCTTGTGTAGATACTGAATTTGGATGGAATGCATCTGTGTCTCAAAAATAGCTATTCATCGTTCCGCATTTTCAAATCAATTCTCAAGAAGAGAAAATCTAAATGAATAAAATTTAACTTTTTTTGACTTTTAAATAAACATATCATGCATACACAACTATATGGTGAGTGAAAAATGATAGACAGATTGTAAAAATTTTGTACAACATTACTAAGACAAATGCAATTATAAGAACAACAATTTGATATTCTTAAAGTATATCAATACTTTTCTTTACTTTCTTTCTATTCATTTGTTGGAATATTTCGAACAATCTTCTTTGTTCATCATCAGCCTAAATTCATTGATATACTTTAAGAATATCAAATTGTTGTTTTTATAATTACATTTGTCTTAGTAATGTTGTTTAAAATTTTTACAATTTATTTAAATCAATAAAAATGTTCCATAATTTTTAATTTTAAAATATTATAAACAGATGTTTTATCTCTTACATGAACAAGTTGAGCAAAAACAAAAGAACAGCCGAAAATCCTACATAATCATCTATCTATTGCCGCCGTGTTAGTTTCTCGGAAAAGAATCAATTTAAGGTTTGGTTTTTCGATAAATTTACCCGATAATTTGCTCGAATAATTGAATCACCATCATAAAGTTTTAGACATTCAAGTTCAAATCAATTAAGTAATTTTTCCAGATTATCAGCAGATATTTTTGATAAACTATTTTATAGCAATTCATGAACAGGTTTATAAAATTCATCTTTAGATAATATCATATTACTGTCAACAGAAGGAATTTTCTTCGTAGATGCACAATGGATCCTATTCTTATAAAAATATTCAACTACCACATTTCACATGGGTTCGAGTACCTATCCTGATTTTTCAATTAATGAATAAAGAGATTTCGTCATTAAAACCATATAATTTAAATATGATAATTAAGTCACTGGAGAACATTATGCCACTGCAACATAAAAATAAATAAAATACTACACTTTTGGCATCTAGAATCAGTTTTCAGAGATTTTCTTTTCTGTAGGCTCTCTAAAAACATTTTCTTTCTTTTTTCTAATAGCGTAAAAGCTTATTGAACAAAGAATCTAGAAATTTCAGCCGTTCACCAATGCATTAACTTACATATCTAACGCTGAGTTAAACTGATTGTATTGCAAAACCGAGAAAGATTAGTTTGAATAATATCAAATTTAGCTGATAAATGTATAGTCATAACTTGAAAAGGGCATAAATTGCTATAGATTTCGCCTAACTGTATTGGAAAGGTTCCCTCGTTGAGATTATTCTTATAATTTAAATGAAAATAAGCACAAATCGAACTATTTCTTACTTTTTTTAAATTGCTCATCATACTCGGTACTGTTCTCATTATCATCAATATATTGAATATATTTATCTTTCCACCATTACTGGTCGTAAATTAAATCGAAAAAGAAAACTTTTTAATAACAAAAAATGTAAATTCTACTAAGTGCTGCGAAACTATGTGGTATTCACAACATTTACGCTATGTAAATAATGGAATGATAAAATAAAGTCATTTTAAAACAAAATAACAGTTAGCAGTATGTAAAACCAATCGTTAAAAAAATAGAATTCTCCACTTGTTGTTGTGAAATATACAGAACTATAAAAAAAATTTATCGAAAAGCGAAAGTGATCAGAAATAACTTCAACTTACTAGAATATATTTATTACTTTGTTTTACTTCAAAGAGAAAATCATAGATCAAATTTTGATCCTCTTTTCAAAAATTCATTTCTTCTTTATTAGTTAATTTTTATATGCACCAAAGTAGATTCTTTCTTTCAACCGATGTAACCACTACGATTAGCTAAAACTTGGTTCTTCCTTAAAGGCAAAAAAAGTCATGTTGGTTACATTGGGCGATTTTCAGTAAGTCTATATTATTTATTAATCAATTAAAAACGTATTATTCCACGATCGCCACATAGAGTATTTGTTATTTTACTGAACAATCAATACTTCGAATTGCTCCCTTAATATTCATACTAGTTGAAACAATGTCAATCAGAATTTACTTATGTTAATTATGTCTACAAAAATATATTTTTATAATACAAAAAAAAACTCTTCCGTTTATCATTACAGAAAATTAGAGAAACGGTCACCAATCAAGCTCTATTGTGATATGATTCTCACTGCATAAATAGAGCGTAAGGATCTATATTCAATCAAATTAATATTTTCATACAGATACTCAATATTAATCGCAATTTCTGTATGAAATTTATTGTAAAATTGGGATCGTTTTACATTTTGGGACGAATCATTTTTAGCAAAAAAATGACACGGAATTTATTTTAACTTTTTGATTTTAATTAAATTGTTCCTATAAGATACATAAAACGCTTATTTATTCTTCATGAAGCATGACATGATTACAGTTCAACCAGATCTTCTACGTGTGATAGACATATTTCCTTTCCTTTGCTTAAAAAGGATGACGTCTCCTTCTATTTTCGTATGAATGAACATGGTGACCGACGGCAATGGAAAAAATATGAATGTTGAAAAAACAACAGCATCTATTTATAATAATATTGGACGATTCATCAATAGCACTTTTTTTCTTTTACATCGTGGTCAAGCATTCTGTTTTCCATTGGTGAAAATGAATAAAGGAAATAATGAATATATATATGTCGCAGTAGAAATTAAAATTCTACTGAATTTTACCTATAGCAGAAACTAAAATTTCAATTTCTACTAGTAGGATTTTAAATTCTACTGAATTTTAATTTCCACTACAACATATATATATAACTGTTTTTAGAAGATTGACAGCCATAATCGAACATGAACCAATCTGACATTAATTTTCTTGATCTACCCAATGAAATGTTGCTAACCATCTTGAAGAAACTTGACAATATTGATGTTCTGTATTCGTTATTTGGAATTAATAATAAACGACTTGACATATTAGTACAAGATGGAGTATTTACTAACAATCTTAATTTTGTAACAACATCATTAATTACTGATGAGAAATTTGATAGATTTTGTACTTATATACTACCCCGAAGCCATCACTGTGTCAAAAAACTCATTCTTGAAGCAACATCTATGGAACGTATTCTTCTCGCTGGTGATTATCCAAATCTGACTTATCTGGAACTCTTCAATTTCAAACAAGAGAAAGTTTTTCATTATTTTGCAGGTAAGTACTTAACATGCTCTAGAGTAATCAAAATACGAAAGCATTTAACCATTTATCTTCTGGTGTATCAATTTTGACCCATTTGTAAAATGATCGCAGAAAATCAAGGAAGCATGAGATTAAAAAACCTCCGAAACATTATTTGTAGGGAGCTACAAGCAATGATTGTTAAAAAATATTTTTGTTTCATTATTCTGTGGCCAAGATATACGACTTCAAATCGATATTCTTCAAAAATTAAAAAAAAAGAAATTTTGAAAACAAAATATTTTTCTCTCGGCCAATAGAGATTTTCAGGGTGCGTTATGTAATCTATATGAACTAAAGTGTCTACTATTGAACTGAATGCATTTCAAAAATTTTTCAATAGCTTGGCAGATAAGAAACGGTAAGACACAGAATAGGTACTGAAATAACTATTGAGCAGAACGAGCAGGATGATGCATATTATCAATATATTATTTCTAAAACTTATTATAGTAGAAGTTGAAAAAAAAATTTATCATCGATTTCATCTCTTCCTTGATGATATAATGACTTAAAGAAAAATATGTATTTTTAAAAAAGCTGTGCCTGAAATTCATGGGGTACGTAGCGTTTCTTCTTTTTACTTAGATAACTCGGCCTTTCGACAAATTTTTAAACACGAGATAAGAGATCTTATTCTTCACAATAGTGATGAATATACCACTGAAACAACGTTGTAGACTCATACCACAGACGTATATGTACAAATCTTAAATGTCTTCGAAAATCTGAAGCATTTGACAATTTTTCCAAACTCCATGGAAGAGTATCCATCTTTGTCAATTAATGATTTACCATCAAACTGTTATTTCTCTTCGAGTCTTACAGCATTATGTATAAATATGACTCATATTGATGATTGTCTTGCTATACTTGATGGTCGTCTCAAACAATTAACCACATTCATCGTTCAAATTAATTGTATCAGTGATTCACCATTAATTTCTCGCAATATGGCAAGTTAATGCCATTTTATTGTTGTTTCAAGGTGAGAAAGAATATCAATGAACAAAAGTAGTTAATTTTCATGTTAGTGCAGCATATGAGTACTGAAATACTGAATAGAGTATGACACTGTTGATCATTATGAAACTATTCGAAATAGATTGTTGTATTTGTTTTCCTATTGCTCTAAATTTACTTCTTAATCACTTACTGGAATTGAGTAATCGAACGATTGGAAAATGAGTTTCTTGATTGTCTCAACAAACAATAGAATAAATTAATATCTATAGTATTTTCTTAAGAATTAACTTTGGAGTTTTTCGAAATATTTGAGGAACAAAATAAATGACGGAGTTACATTCGAACAATTTACATAAACTAATAAATATATTTCGAGTAAAGAAAGCTAGTAACTTTCTTTAAATTACCAAGTAAAATATGCAGAGTTGCTCATTTTTGGGAGCCGTTCTCCGCTCACTCGCAATAGTCCTGATATCATGACAAGTTTAAGAGAACAAAGAATGTCATAGAGGACTTATCAGATGCAAAGATACTTAGGAATACACATAAAATGATGAGCGAGATTGACAAAAGAAGTTTGTTAATTGGAATGGTGGTTGTACTGTATACATCAGAACTATTTAGTGCAACGATATCAGTGACAATTCATGCACGTTTCGAAACATTTTCAAGTCTTATTCAATTTCGAAGTTGATCGTTTTCCTTTTAAGTTAACCTTTAAACATCTACTATTTTCAATGCGAAGAAAATTTAGAAATGTCGACCATTACTTTTTAGACATCATTATAGCATATCATATATCTCATCAAATATAAGAAATATTGAAAAAAGAATCGTAAATGAGTAGATCTTTTTCAATCAGTTGCCTAGGTAAACTTATTATCTTAGTTGAAGTTCGAAAGTTGTATTCCAAAGATGTCTTATATTTTATAGGATGAACTACATAGTTTGAAATATTTCTCGTTAACATGTTATGAGTATTTTTATAACTATGACGATGTAGTTGTGCCGCTTCTTCGTCGTATGACACATCTGGAAAAGTTAACTTTATATCTTCGTGTTCGTAATCGTAGTTCGTTCGTCAATGGTACACATCTTCATAATGAAATTCTTGTCCATATGCCTCAACTTCATACATTCATCTTTTACATTAGCACAGAAAATAACATTAATGAATCAGTTCATCGTATATCTAATGATGATATTCAGCAAACGTTTACACATACAAGATATGCACGAACAGGTTGTATGGTCAACTATCTCAACACTTTTAAGGCCATATGTCATGTTTTCTCGCTTCCGTTTACATTTACTCGTCTGAACATGATCACAAATCAGTTTCCAACTATTATTTTTGATTATGTAACTCACTTGCACGTCTTTGATGTAGTTTCATTGAAGCATGAATTCTTCATTCGAATTAGTCGAGCCTTTCCAATGCTTCAATTTTTCTCTCTGGTGAATATTATGTTCCAGTCATGGGATGTTAATGAATGGCAATATGATAATAATTCAACATTTTTACAGTTATTGAATATTCTCATCTTATATCACTTGACATCACGAGTGTGTATCTAGATTATGTTGCACAATTTCTGCTCGAAACCAAGGCACATTTGCCTCGTCTAGCTGAATTAAAAGTTAGTTATGACCAATTAAAAATGGTAACAATGAACTTTACAAGAGATGCTACGCGACGCAATTGTTCGAAAGTGAAACGATTAATTGTTGAAGAGTCAACGGTATTTTCAAAAGATGTTTATCAATATTTTCCTTCATTGTAAATTGAATTCTATGTTAATAACGCAAATAAAAATTAATTTTGTAAAAATTTTTATGTTATGATAATAAAATAAAAAAGATTAGTTGTTTATGATCGGGTATTGAGTTTTAACAGATATGTCCATTGGCAAATTACGCTTATTATTTTATTCGTTTGTATTTATAAGTGAAACTGTAGTTTAATGACAGTTTCTGACAGTAGGAGTTTCAGGAAAAAAACTTAAAACAGGTCTGTGGGAAGTGTTAAAACTTAATACAGAAAAACATCAGAATATCATCTAACTATAGTCCATCCAAAACGTCTGTGTGTGTGACTATTTGCTGAATAACTCGAGAACAAAAAGAGATGTAAATCAGTGATTTTCACTATTGTGTAGGGTTTGAGTACTCTATCGATCTCTACTAATAGAAGATGAAAAACATCGACTTTTAAGATAATGTTTATTATCGATCTTTGAAAGATGTGAACGTGATTACCGTAAATTTGATAGTGACTTATCAGTTCTAAATATGTGAAAGATAGTCCACAGAATCCTCTAGGAAATGGCAAAAGTCCGACCTCTCTAGTTATTGTAATTCAAAAATATCACACATTTTCCTGGAGTCTATACTAGTCCATATATTCGATTACGATCGCACTGATCCATTATTACGGACACCTGCGATGCAGTTGTTAACAATGTGAGGACACGGAAGTGCTTTTTCTTAATAGGATGAACTGCAAATATGTATAGTAAAGCTCTTTGTTGATTATTGTTTACATTATAAGAATGATTATTTTTGGCCTCGAACAACTTTTATAATTGAAGATGACGAGCTAGATTATGCAGAAAGAGTCCAGACTTAAAATATGTGACTAAAATAAAAAAGTAAAACCAAAACGTGTAATTTTATGACCAACATATTACAGAATATCACTGATTGATATAAACAACCATATAACTCTTCTATACTGTATTCATCTAGTTTACATCGTCTTTGCTATGTTGTATTAGTGTTGTAAGACTTTTTGATCTGTTTTCTTTTCAACAGTTTGTTCGTCCAAGACTCATCTCTGAAGATGCAACACTAACAACAACTGCAATGGTAAACACTTAAACGTATGTAGTGGCTAACTGTAGTACTTAAAAAGATGATTTCAATACATCGAAAGGATTCAGGGAATACCCATGGAATGTAGCAAACACAACGTAAACTAGATGAATACAATATATAAGGATTATGTGCTTGTTTATATCAATCAATGATACTCTATAATATGTTGATCATAAAATTACACTTTTTTTAAAAATTTTAGTCACATATTTTAAGTCTGGATTCTTTCTGCATAGTCTAGCTCGTCATCTTCAATTATAAAAGTTGTTCGAGACCAAAAACAACCATTCATACAATGTAAACAATGATCAACAACGCAGCAGTGCTCAGACTTTCAAAAAAAAAGGAAAATTCAAACATTTGTGTTTCAAATCATTCCGTACTTCCAAAAATTATAGAATTTCAGAAATTTCTGAAATTTTGGGGGTTGAGTATTTATCGAAATTTCTGAAATTCTTAAAATTTTCAATGTTTCGAAAAACGTTTAATTTGCACTATTATATGACTATCGACCTGATGGAAATTTCATAAATATTGGTAATTTCGTTTTTCGGAAATCTGAACATACCTCAAAGATAACAAATAACTTTTTTTTCTGAAAAATCTTGGTTCTGCTTTATAACTATGTCGAATCATATGAGTTTTATTGACTCATTAATCTCCGATCGCTAGGTGATGTCACCGATCAAAATTTCGATTACATTGTCTATAATACTCCGAAGATTCCAAAAATGATCATCTCGAGTATTTTTCTCATGCACAACTAAGATTTACTGATTTCTTTATAAGGGACGATTGCTCAGTGTTCGACCGTCTTTAGCGTGATGTTTTGGCCACGCAAGCCTCTGCGAAATGAGTACATGCCTAGAAGGATTATAAAGCGACCATAAGTAAAAAAATGGCGCTTAGAATCTCGCCTCATAAAGACTTATATATGACCAAAACACCACATCAACGACGACCGAGCATTGGCAAATCGTACCTTATAAAGCAATCAGTGAATCTCAGTTGTATGTGAGAACAATACTCGAAATGATCATTTTGGGATTTTTAGAATTTCATAGGCTATGTAATCGAAGTTATGGTCAATGCCATCGCCTAGCAATCGGAGATTAATGAGCAAATAAAACTGATATGTTGCGACATAGTTATAAAGCAAAACTAAGATTTTTCAGAAAAAAAAGTTATTTGTTATCTTTTTGTTATCAATAAAAAATAATAACAATAACTTCTCATCCCTATTTTATATTAACAGCAAAAAACTTCGTGTGCTCATCATGTCAAAAATAGTTTTATTAAAACATTTTGTATTCGACCATGCCATTTTTATACTAAAGACGTGCTTATTCATTTTGTTAATCAATGAATGATGATACTACAGCGCATAGGTCTAGATCATATTCAACATTAGCAATAGTAGCAGCATATCACCTATGGACGAGAAAGATTATGATAAGCATGATGGAATTCATTATTCATCAGAGGTGTCCACGGGACCAATTTTATTGCCCTGCCCTGCCCTGCTAATTAAGAAGAATTTTTTTCATATTTAAATTCAAGTTTGAGTAATCTTTTTTATTTGAAAAATAGTTCAGCAAATAGATAAATGATCAGGGAATAATAAATTAGCGCTAATTGAAAAAGTGTATATGATGATATTGCATCATCAATGATGATCCATCAGTAGATCGGATGTTTTGTTTCGATATAAACAGATCTCAGCGTATTTTCTGATACAGTTTTTTACACTGGTTGTGAATTTGGACTTTTTTTCTTAAAAAAAATTGGGTTCTGGCATCGAAAATTAAGTTTTAAAATTTTCATAAATTGTATTTTCAATTTTGTAACCAAGAAATTTAAAACAAAAATGCAGAGTAATATTGTTACAGTCATATGTTTATTCCTTGACTCATCGACGTTTGTATACTCATTCCCTGACACATATTTCCCCTATATATACTCCTCTTTCTTCAATGATAAAGTTAGTTCCATCGTTATGGTACTCATTCGTTATTAACATCAAGAGGGCACATGTATCTCTAATAAATATACCATTCGATGCAGAATTTGATTCTTTACAAAGTGGCCTGTTAATTGTTTACTCACATTCTTCAGGACAACT